GCGTCTTGGCCGTGAACTTGATGTTGAACAGCTCGTCCTCGAGCGTGGACCGGCGCGAGAAGAGGCCCATCATGGCGGCGACGACGACGACGACGACGACAACGACGACGAGGAGGTTGAGGAGGGGGAGGAGACTGGAGGGGGACGTTGACGGGCAGTCGGTGGTGGCCTTGAACTCGGCCGCTCTCGGTCTCTGTCGGCGTGTGTTGTGGAAGTGTGTGACGATACCTGATACCTTTTTCTTTTTGAGTGCACCAAGTGGTTCTGAGGCTGTGGCTGTGTTTGGGATTGCTGCGAATGTACTGAGTTGAGGTAGAGAGGAGAGTGGTGTCTTTCTTTTTTTACAGCTGCGTTGGTTTGACGTTTTTGTTGAGGGACTCAAACGATGTGCTGTGGGGATCAGACGCTGCATAACGGCTCTGATCGCGTGACAGGATAGAGCAGAACGCAAGAGCCGGATCGGGTGCTATGCGCAGATCGATGTGCCGCATCCTTGATCATCAGCGTGCATGCGCCCATAGCCGTCTGAGTACGTGGATTTGCGGTCCGGCACGAACCACAGCGCCGAATATACGACACGTGCGACTGACCCTGACGAACGATACCCTCTCTACCACAGTAAGACGAGCTGACACAGTTTCATCTTAGGGCAGAATGCTGTCCCCGCTGGCTTCTGCCCATACCAGCCTTGGTCCCTGATGTACTCTCGGTAACAACGGGCTCACGTTCCCGCCAGCTTGTACGTGGCAGTCAAACGCCTGTCAAGCATATCTAAATATCGAGCGAGAAGGCAACTCGTTTGACGTAGTGACGAGAAGCCTGGTCGCTAGCTGCCGATACCTAAAACTCAGCCTTCGCTATTGTCAATTGCTCAACCAAACGGGGCGATCTGCTGAGCTGGTCGTCCCTCCGACCGCTACGGAGACGAAGGGGAGCAACAACATGTCAAAATGAGATCGAGGGACGGTTGAGAACTGGAAGCTGATGGAAGCTAAGAGCACAGCTGTACCTGGTATCACGTGCCGATTTCGGAGCTTCATCGTCACATCCACGATATGAAAAGCAAGTGCTCGGCTGGATCTGGCAGAACATGATGGTATCGAAGAGGCAAAGAAGACAAACGAGGACGCGAAAGGTAGTGGTCCAGTTGACAGCGCGGCATTCGTCAGAGAACGGTTCCGTCCAGTCTTGGAAAGGACAATGTTTCGCGCGATGCCGGCTTTTCGCCAACGCATACGAGGACAGAGCCCAGACTTACAGAGCTCACTACAATCATTGATTGACAGTCGCACCGCACCCAGTGCCCAGTTGACCCTTAGCTTGTGGTTCAGTAGGTGTCCGTTGCGATCTCATGCAAATTCTGGGAGCTGAAAGCTGTTGATTTACATGCTTTGCATCCTATCGCGCTGGATATTCGCGCCACCTTTCGGCCGAACAACCTCTATCAAGACGTGCAGGTCTTGCGGACTGCAACGTCAACCCACCGGTCATTGGACGAGGTAAGAGGAGCGCCCAATTATTTATGACGCATTTTCTGGAGGGTACAACTTTGCAAAGGACCAACTGGTCGGGGGAGAGCACGAAACGTGTGTTCCAAACTTTAGGACTATCTAAACTCTTAGCTGACGTGTTCGCGACCGCGAATGATCACGGAAGAAGAAGGCGGGGAAGGGGGGGGGGGGACCGACCCCTCCCACCTTCAACATCGACACCGACAGTGCGACCCGATCCCGAGGCTTTTTTTCCTGGATCGCGACACCCGAAAACGACGTGCAATCGATGGGCTGCACCAACACATACGTCACACCACCAGCACCTCCGCCGCCCTAAACCAGTGCCAACTCTATCGGAACACCTGCAGCTGCACGAATCGACAAACAGCCCACTCACTAAATGACTGCATCCATCCACTCATACACACACACGCACACACGTACACGTACACACACACGTCCACGTCCACGGCCTCGACGGCCCTTCTCCACCTCCGCATCCTCATTCTGCATCTGTCTCCTCCGCCCGCACGAAAATGAACTCGACGCCTTCCGAGTCTGCATCTTCTTTGCCCTCGTCCGCCCCCGCCCCACGTGGTCCCCACAGCCCGAACGGCATCACGGGCCCACTGGCCCACAAAGCCGCTGTACCCACGGAGCGCATTGACGTCATCGACGCGTTCCTCCAGCAGCGCGTAACCCATCGGCCGCTCGTGGGCATTGTCTGTGGCTCGGGCCTCGCGGGCCTCAGTCAGTGCCTGTCGCACCAACAGGTCATTCCCTACAAAGCCATTCCGCAGTTCCCGTGCTCGACCGTCGAGGGGCACCCGGGGGAACTCGTGTTTGGCGACCTCAATGGCCTCCACGTCGTGTGCATGCGCGGCCGTTTCCACAGCTACGAAGGCTATGCCCTCCACGAGACGGCGCTCCCGATCCGCGTCATGTACCTCCTCGGGATCCAGTACCTGATCGTGACGAACGCGGCCGGGGGGCTCAATCCCGACTTCCACGTCGGCGACGTCATGATCCTCACGGACCACCTCAACATGCCGGGGCTCTCGGGGCAGCACCCGTTGATTGGACCCAATGACGCGCGCTTTGGCGCGCGGTTCACGCCCCTGTCGGACTGCTACGACAAGCAGCTGCAGGCGCTCGCGCGTCGGGTGGCCGCGGACGTGGGGCTCGCGCACAAGACGCGCTCGGGCGTCTACTGCTTTGTGTCGGGGCCGACGTACGAGACGCCGACCGAGTGCCGGTTCCTCCGCCTCGTGGGCGGCGACGCCGTGGGCATGAGCACTGTGCCAGAGGTCGTCGTGGCGGCCCACTGCGGACTGAAGGTCTTGGGGCTGTCGCTCATTACGAACAAGGCGCTGTTTCCAGGGGACGAAGGAGAGGGCGCGTCGCATGCCGAAGTCCTCGAAGCGGTTCAGGCCACGCAGCACGACATCGAGACGTACGTGCGGGGCCTGATTGCCGCCATTGGTAAACACCACAGTATGTTGTAGACCAGCGCTTTGGGCGTCCCGATGGGCTTCAGGTTGCGGAAGCCGTTTGTAGACTAGCGAACAAGACATCGACATGCATCGCGGTCGGGTATAGTCGCAGTTGCAGGTGTACCCCCTACTTGGTCGGGCATGACCTCAGGAGCTCAGATAGCATGAGGACTGATAGTGGACATTTGTAAAGGTACCGCTCAGATGGACACGCGGTGCAGTGCTATGGGTTCGGGAGGGAGCTACGAAGAGGTCAGCCACTGTGTGCGCTTCGCGTCGAACGTCAGTGCTAACGTGGAACCAAATACACTGCATGTCTGCCGTGAGCGCCAGAAGCGCATTGCGTGTGCGAGCTCAGAAAGTAGTGCAACACGCGTCTCTGTCCGATAATGAACTCGTGCCATGTACAGGGGGGGGGGGGCGGTGAAGAGAGGCGGATGAGAAACCCCATGCTTGTAGCACAGCATGACAATTGTGGATACTCTCCTCGAACATCAACGTGTCCAGTTTCACGCTGGAAATGCTGTTGCCTGATGACCGATTGGGTCTGTCTTGCCAAGCGAAATGCTAATGGGTGATGTCATTGCCAAGTTCGGGGCGTGAGCCTGTGCTACTCGTGATCCGTTTCCTAATTTCTACGAGGGTGTCGGAGAAGAATGAGTCTATCTGTTCCGCTGGATGGGCCTACATATCCTGCGTCAAAGGCAGGACGTCCAACCCGTATTGAATTACAGATACCCTATAGAACGGAATACGTAGAAAATATGGGATGTATGGCGGGTCGGGCAGCCGTTGCCGGGTCCGTCAAATGTACTCTAAATATAGACTACGTACGATTTTAGACCATCCTATGGTCTACGCTGCTGGACCCACGCGCTCGTTCCAAATTTGACGAGCTTTGATGCATCTTCGGCTTGTAGAAGTCCAGATCCGATTCTTGGACTTTGGTAATCAGGACATTTACTAAACGCATCTGATTCTACGAAAGTGCGATGATTAGATTATAGTTTTCCGGTCGATGCCGTGCCCGCTCATCTCCTGTGGGTGACGTCAAGCGCATTGGCATAAGCCCATCTGCTACGTCTGACTCTTCAACACGTCATCGGAAGCATTGACGAGCGCATCTCTTCGCTTCCCAATCGATATCATCAGGTGATGGGGTGCTGCCAACCTTGTAGGACACTTGTCTGCATTCCTCCTTACACTATGCGCCTCAGCGACAAGTCGGGCGTCCAGCCCATTCAACCGTCACATACCATTCGGTACGGCTTGGCAGGGCAGAAGACACACTCATACTTCTTCGCTCTTTGGAGACGTCCCCGTCAGTGTAGAAGTGTACATGTGCTACGACATTTGCGAGTCTGCAAGCGTAACGGCAGCATGTTGACTGCAAGTCCAAAGGTCGAACCTACATTTGAGTGTGCATGTCATACATTTACACGCACGCACATGTTAGATGCATTGGCGCGGCGAATGTCTCGCCCCTCCAATACCACAACATCAGCAAAAGCAGCGATCGCAGCATCACACTACCACATACGCCAAGAAGTAAGCGACACTGAGTAAAGACCTTGCTCCAGACACACCTTCAATCCAAAGACAACCGCTATAAACATGCTCGTCGAAACGATGCAGCAGTAGATACTTTGGCTTTGGCTGATCGAATCAGTCTGCACCTTGTCGTCTCTGCTTTTCTGTGTGGGATTGCACATACAACAGCTAGCGCCGCAGCAAACTCGGTCATCGAAGCAAACATGCTCAAGACACAGTGGGTGGTGTCTCGTGGTCGACGTTACCCCACATTATGGCACTTCGTGTGGGATCCAGACACAAGGGATATGCTGTGGCCCGAGGCCTCACGCACAAAAGACTTGTACCGCACCTGCTGACAAGTTGCGAATAGTAGTACGTACATGGCAACATTGACCTGCATGACGCGTAACCCATCCGTCGTACGAGGATAAAGGCCAAGTCGGATATCAATTGATTCGCTCGGCAAAGAGAGTAATTGACCGCAGACAGCGCTTTGCCTGTATTTGCCATTACCTGCCACGACTTTCGACGTAAACGACGAGCCCACCAGACCGCTCACTGCGTCAAGTCAAAGTCAGCCTACGACAAAAAGCCGTCGAGGGGATACCGTCTCTGCGCATCTCAGCATGCAGACAGAAGCGCGTCGACCAGCAACGACACTCGAGACGCCCATATCGACAACGACAGCCACCCACCCACCTCCGTCCACTGTCGATCCACCGTATCCAGCAGAGCCCTTTTTCCCCGTTTGCAACAGAGCTGCGAGCGCTCAGTAGCCGTCGCCAGCGCCGTCAAAGCTGCCGCGTGACCTCCGCCGGCAACGGCCGCACGACGCCCAGTCCCGACTGCGCCGTCGAGAGAAAGTAGGACCGCGTGTCGCCAAACGAGAGCACGACGGCCTTCACCAGCGCGTCGGGCGCGAACACGTCGTCGAGCGCGAGTTTGTCCACGTCGTGAGTCCGCACGTCTTCGAGGCGGAGAACGCCGGGGAACGGCTCGCGGAAGACCGTCTCGCGCACGCACCAAATGTCCACTACCACCTGCCGAGCCGTGAGCTTCCGCACGCGGCCAATCACGACGTCGCCTGGACGGAGCACCTGCGCGGACGCCACCGTCGCCCCGCGGCCGCGCGTGACGGCGACGACGTCCCCCTGCGAGACGCTCCACGTGCCGCCTATGGACGCGAAGATCGCGCCGTCGCGTGCGTAGGCGCCCGGACCGGCCGTGAGCGGCTTCTCCGCGGCCGCAACAAGGCGCTGGCCAGGCACCGCGACGTTCATGGCGAGTGGCTGGGCGAGTGGCAGCGTTGATTGGTTGAAATCAAAGCCGGCGGAGCTTCGCGGCCACTGATTGGCCGAGCGCAACGGACCTCCTCGCTACCACCGGGACGTCCCGCGCAGCAGTGCTGGCGCAGTTACGGTATGGTGCGCCTCAAGACGCGGTACGTGGTCCTTGAGGCCACAACAGGCGGCCGCAAGTCGGTCGGCACGAAAGAAGACATTGTCCGGTTGGTGCGCGCGTCGATTGCCGCGAGTTACGGGGACGTGGGGTCCGGAGTGGCCCAGTACGCTTTTCAAGGTGCGTGTGTGTGCCAACGTGCACAACAGTCGACAGCGTCGAAGCGGGTCTGAACGTGGCCTCGATGCCGCCTGTTGGTTGCTCCTAGTGCTCTACTACAATGCGCACACGCGACTTGCGGTCGTTCGATGTGCCCGCGAACTGTGCAAGATGGTCGAGACGTCGCTCGTGTTTGTGACTGCTGCGCACCATCAAGACGTTCGTCTCCGAGTGGCTCGTGTGTGCGGTACGAACGCTCGAGGACGCTGCGTGGTGGTGGCACGGGTTGGTGGCATGGGTTGGTGTGTGACGGGATGTGACGCGACTTGCGGTGTGTGTGTGTGTGCGCTGTTTGGCCAGGCTCGAGTCGCACGTGCAGGAAGTACCTGCTGCAGTACTCCATGGAACGGGCAAAGACGATGAACCTGTATGCGACGCAGCCCACGTTCGACGAGGACGTGCAAGCCGAGATTGCACGAGTTGATCCGCACTGATCCTCGCTCGCTTATTTAATACCGAGCAGCGCTGTGCCAGTGCCGCGTCTCTCTTTCTCGCTCTCGCAACTTGTTGGGCCACCGTGTGGATCGCCAGCTGGCCGACTGCTACCGGTCTAGTCAATGGACTTGCCCTGTTTCTCGTACTCCGTTTCGATCTGCGAGCAGTGGAAGTCCACCTCCTCGAAGATATCGCGCACGTTCTTGTTAGGCACTTCCATCACGTGCTTGCCCCCATTGACTGCACCGCAGCACAGCGACGTGTTGGACACAGCAAACACCACAGCACAACTTCGTTGACAATGGACCACCCCCGCGAGATAAAACACTTGGGCAACGTACTGAAGTCCAGTTGGATAGTGGGCACGGAGCCCGCCAAGGTCGTGTGCTGCTCGATCTCTGCCTTGGGGTTCACCTTGCGCGTCTACACGTGCCAACCAGTACACAACCCCTCATCAGCATCAGCATCATCATCTTCTTCTCCTTCATCCTCCTCCTCCTCTTCTTCTTCTTCTTCTTTGTCCTTCTTCCTCCTCTAAACACCACAAAGGCTCTGCAATGCAACGCAGCGACACTCACCTTCTGCGCCGTCATCTGGCGGTAGAATTCACTGGCAATGGATCGAATTCACAGCCCCCGACACCATTGAGTCAGGTACACAGAGACCAGAGACACCGAGACACTCGACACGAACAGCAAAAGAGACGTCGCCACTCACCACGCACCAGTCGCCCGCCCATCAAAGCTCGAGAAGGAAATTTTGGCCGACTTGAGGAACCGCACGACGTTACGGGCCGCCATGTTGTGGACTACTGTTGCGCGGGACTGGATGGACGCAACGTCTTGAAGAAAGGATAGCAATATTACCAATTACAACAAAAATCACAATAACAGCATAGCCCAACCAAATGACAACTATCACAGCATCGACAGCCACGACATCAACAACAACAGCACGACCATAACAGCAATAACAGCAACATAACCCCTTACAAATATACCAACAAATAGAGCAATGCCAGCAATATCAACCAGAACAAGGATTGCAATTGCAATAGCACCCATAACACTACCCATAGTGGCGACGATAGTGATCCTGTCGGACCGCATACCCTCTCGAATTCGCTCAGCACCAGCGCGACCGACCGTCCGACCGCGCCAGTGTCAGTCAACATGCCCGAAGAGCCGGCAATCGACCGCGAGAAGCACTGCCCCTTTCTGCTGCGCGTGTTCTTCAGCAAAGGGGCACACAACAGGCAGGAGAAGCGCATTGCTGCGGCACTGATTCCCTGCCGGCAATCGATGCGCAACTGACGATGCTGTGTGTGTGTGGATATGGCGACACTCTTTTGTTCGGTTGTCGATGCCCAGGGCCGAAGCCTTTGAAGCACTGGACGATACGCCAATCGCCAATGAGCTGCACATTTACACGTGGTACGTCGTCGAGCGACTGTGGTATAGCGTGTGTGGTGTGTCACGCACGAGCAGCAGAAGAAGAGCTACACGCGGTGACTGAGCCTGTGACTGAGATGGTCGGTACAGGCCCGACGCCACACTTCGCGAGATGGCAGACCTCGTGCAGGACTCGTACGTCGATGCGCAGAAGCCCAACATGCGTCTGAGCATTTGCGTCGTGTCCGAGACGCGGGACGGCAGGTGAGGCGACGTGACGGAGCGATCGACCGGTTCTGCTGCTCGGGTAGTGGTTGACACACGTGTGCCCGGACGGCGTCGAGACTGACTTGAGGTGTCTGTATGGACGTGACGTGACTGCAGACTGCTCATGCGCAAAGTCGGCTACGTGAACAGCAGTCGACGTCGATGTGCGGACGACAACAAGTCGCTCGCTAGTGTTCGGTTCCGTCCAGGCGACTTGCTGGACATTGCACTCGTCGAGTAGCGCACGTCAAAGACGACGAGTGCACGTGTTGCAACCAGACACTCGGGTTTGCCCATCATATATCGTGTACCACGAGCGCCGCGTCGGGTAATTGTTAATCACTTAATACAGTACCACCGAGTGGTCGAATGGGTTCTGCCGTGGCAGTATCGGTTTGAAGAGGGTTTGCGACTCGCTCGGGCTCCAGTCCCGCAGACGAAATGGTGTTAGTGACGACGGACACGTTCCTGGACAAAGTCGCCGCGTTCTACGCAGCAGCGCACGACTCGAAGGGCTCTGTCGCCATCTCGTGCAAGAGCGGTACGTCTCTTGACGTGCAGTGGTCGAGCGGTGCGACGACGCACTGTGTGCTGACGGCAAAGTGTGTGTCATTGCGTTTGGTCTCGTTCTCTGTCTCTGTCTTGTTGTTGTTGCTGTTCTTCTTGTGGGTTTGTGCCCATATATGTAGTGCCAGTGACCAAAGCAAATGGGAAAGCGCAGCAGAAGATCCGGAAGCTGACGGTGGAAGACGGCGAGCACGTGCTGCTGTTCCGCGCTTGCAAGTACGGCAACAATAAGCACAAGAAGAAATACAGCACAGTGGTGAGACGAGAGAGGCTCGAGAGAGCGAGAGAGAGACTGAAGGGACGACGATTGCTCACGCACTGTGTCTGCTGCTGCTGCTACTACTGCTACTGCTACTGCTGTTGTTGGTGCTGGTGTAATGGTGTAGGTGACGGCAGTGCATCACGCGTCGTTCCACGCGTCGCTGAGTCAGATTGTCAAGACGAAAGTGGACGCGACCACGAAGGACATGGCTGGCAAGAGTGCGGGGAAGCGCGTGGTGGCCAAAGTGACGAAGACGGCGCAATAGATAGAGACGCAGTGTGGGTTCGAAGGTGCAGGTCTAGCGAGCACTGGAGGCGATGAATGGAAAGCTTTGAGTGGGTACGGCGATACAGGACGGGGAACTAGTACACGAGAGAGGTCAGTTGGGTCTCTTGTACCGCGGCTCGTATTTACTTGCACTTATTTTTGCGGTAAGGCAGCCGGGGAGGCCGCGACGATCGGGTCTGTGTCGGTCTGCAAGTACGTGTTAAAAGCTGGCAAGTCGTCAATGAGGCTCATGTCCCCCAACACGTCACCCAAATAGTGGTTGCGTCGAGACGCCCGTCGTCGACCTTCTTGCAGGCCAGTGCTGGACAGCAGACACCCCACCATTGGCATGTAGTCGAGGGTGAATCGCGGTTCCGAGGTCCCGCATCTGCGACAGATAGACAGCCAGCCACACAGCGTGAGGTGACAATGACCAGCATAGGAGTGGCACTCGAGATCAACACGCACGCACCCTTTGTATGCAAGTGGGAGCTCGAACTTCATCTTCAGCGCCGCTAGCTCCGTCTGGTGATAATGTCGTCTAGAAGCTGCGAGAGCACTGTCTAATGTTCGCTGCACGCATGTAGAGGCGACGAGTCCTTCGTGCTGCATAAGGGACGCGCCAAGAGAACTTGCTGATGATCCTAGCGTCTGAAGGCTCGAACGTCTCAGCTCCAGCGCAGCAAGATGTCGACGCTCGCGGTGGAAGAACGAATCCTGCTATGCAGTCGGACAAAACACTCGTTGTTAGAGTGAACAAGCGACCAGATCGACAGCTGCGTGTACCTCAGTGTCGTCGTCGTCGCCGTCATGTCCAGTTGCCAAAGCTGGTGCCATCCACACTTCTGCAACCGAAACAGCATCCATGATCTGCGCTAATTCTGCCATCGCATCAACGTCCACTTGCTTCTCTTTACGGCTTTTGCCACCAAGAGACTGTCTCTCTGATCCAGAAGAAGCTTCTGCGAGCTCAGCTAGTAGATTGCTCGTTAGTGCATCGAAGGACGAGCCCCCTGTCGTCCACAAAGTCCAAGCAGGAACATCGACATGCGACGTATCCTTCTTGTCGACAACGCCCTGCCAACGCCATTGTGTCTTCTTGCTTGCATCGGACACCGGCAAATTGGCCTCGAGAAAATGCAGCGAGCGACGGACATCTCGCTTGAAAAAGTTGCCCAGCGCATCAATGAGTGACGGTGCCAACTGCAGTCCTTCGATGAAGGCTACCAGACGCATCCAAGTCGCAAACTCGTCCATGGATGGCTTGCGGAGCTCGCGACATAGCCGTCCGGGCTTAGCAGGGAATGCATCTGGCAACTGCGTGCACGTTACAACAATTGGACACTTTGCATGCTTGGCGATGGAGCACACGGCACTGAGGAAGCCTTTGTCTTCGTCAAAGATCAGGTCTGCATCCTCAAACATCACAAGTGACAATGACGCTGCTGTGGGCTGCTCCAAACTCTTGCGGCTTGTAGAGTGTCTCCTCCTCTTTTTCTTGTGCTTCGTTTTCTTCATGCCGGCCTTTGCACCCACGTGCAGCACCCGAGCTGACTGCGTAGCTTCACCTGCAAGTTCCACAACGCTCTTTCCAGAACGATTCTGGGCGGCGTTGATCTCAATGATCTCGTAGCCCAGCTCCTCGGCACATGCATACACGGCTGCAGATTTGCCTGCGCCCGACTCGCCTTCCAGAATAAACAAACGGCACAGATCACCAACCTCATCGTCACTATCGCTGTCGCCATCCTCGAACGAAAACAGCTCTGACTCGAGGCAATTCAGCTTTTCCCGATCACCACCACCGACCTTCCAAGCACTCAGCCATGATGACAGTGTGTGAAGCGCTTCGCAATTGCCAACAAGACCACTAGCATTTACCGGCAAGTAGCGGTCTACTAAAGACAAGTTCTGCTCGCGATCCAAACGTCTCGTCCTCGCCAGTTCGAGCCCCTCAAGGAGCTCGCGCACTCGTTTCTCACGCATCCCATGCGTCTCAACTAACTCATCAATCAACAGTGTTTCCCTTTTCATCAGCTCTGCCATAGCCGCGTCTGCATTCTCCGCTGGACGTGGAGAGGTAACATCGATACATTCGACAACCTGAGCTGGTAAGCTGGAGGCGTCCAAGTGCTCACGAAACCAAAACTGCTCACAGAACGAAGACTCGGTGGCTACTTGCCCATTCATTGCTGCTTTTAGCTGATCCATCACGCCGTCCGTCAACTTGCTTCCTCTTGCTCCATCGTCATCAGCAACTATTACCGCCGAGGGCTTATCGACTGCAGGTACGACTCGCTTTGGTGGCGACACGCCAATAACGGTTCTGTCTACATCTCCTGCCTCTACACACGCGATCAACACGTGCTGCACCTCGGGAAATAGCGGAAATGGCTTCCCCCAGCGACCACCCCCATTTGTACTCTGCCGTTGCTTCGTCTCACCATCTCCTTGCATTTCAACAGCTCCATCATCGTCTTCGACAGAACTACCGCTTGGCTTGATACAAGCTCGCGCTTGAAAAAACGGACTAGCCGTTTTGCCGGCAAAGAAAGCAAGATCTTTCTCACGTGTCTGTCGAAGCTGTGCCCGAAACAACGACACGGTCTCGATCTCTTGCAGCTGCTTTTTCTCTTGCTCGCTCAGAAAGAACGACTGAGCCGTCTTGGCCACACTTGGTGAGCTTGTCGTCGAGTCGCCCTTCCCACACGCCAACGTCTTGAGTTTCCTGTTCATCTCTAACTTTCTCTTGCGTCCACTCGTTGTCGCATTCCCTTCTTCGACTTTCTTCTTTGTCGACGGAGGTGGGGTCAAAAACGAAGCCGCCTCGTTCCTCGCAGCCACAGCATCCAGCAACTTTTGCTGCTGCTGGACTATCTCCGCCCGCACAACTGCCTGTCGCTTCGGCCGCCCAGAGCTCATCCGAGCAGTCGAAACACCCTCTTCCATCATGCAGCGATCGACCCCCGCAACTGCCTCCACCCCCACCCTCTCTGCTCTCGTCTTCCCGCTCCTCTCATTGCTCCCCCGCTTCACCTCCTCGTCCTTCTTCTTTTCCTCCTCCTCCTCCTCACCAGTCTCCACCACCTCTGCAGCAGCTCCACAAACAGCAGCCACCGCATCATCTCCGTCCACCGCCTCTCCCTCTTCCGTCGCAATAGCGTCACACACAGCCGTTGGCGGCATGCAAAAGCGCGCAATCGACGGCTGCGACGCGTCCACTCGTGCGCCTGCGCCTCTGCGAGGCGCTCGCGCTCTCTTCCGCCAACTTCGTCTCGACCAATGCGCTCGCTCGTCAAACTCGACGTCGTCCGCCTCGCTGTCGATCTCCTCGACGAGCGCGCGCGTCTCGACGCTCATGGGCGGCGTCGTCTCTCGGGCGCACAACTGGGCAAAGCCAATGTCCAGCGGCAGGTGGGCGCTCGAGCGCAGAGTGGCCGCGTGCTCGCACTCTTGCTGCCGACGGTCGGAGGCGGTGGGGGCGGAGCACGCCGACAGGCGGCCGCTCAGCCAAGAAGCCAAGCCGTGCGACGCCATGGCGCGCAATAAAGTGCCTCCCGCCAAAAACGAATAAACGCGTCAAAAAAGGCGTTTGGCCCGAAAGAGCTACTTCACCGACGGGTTGTGCAAGCTGCTTTTTATATCCAGCACTTTTGGAGGCAGGCGCGACGACAGAGACATACGGCTGCTTGTTCATGATAGTGAACGTGGCTCGCAAAAGAATAGGGAAAAACTCCGTCGTGTGTGCTACCGATTGGTATTTGGTACCCTCGAGTGCTTCGCTGTTACTTAGCCAGCAAGTAAACCCACCGCCAGGAACACCAACGGCAGCGACAGCAATACCACGTGTCCCTCGTCGGTAAAGCTGCAGAAACACTCATAGCCCTAGTGACCCATTGGCATCGATTGCTGGGGCATCGCCGAGCTTGGCTGAGGCATGGCCATACTCTGTGGCGGCATGGCCATGCTTTGCTGGGGCATCGCCATGCTCTGATGCGGCATGCTTTGCATGCTCTGCTGTTGAGGCATCCCTTGCGTCGCTGTGTTCACGCGCTGCATCTGCTGCGACGGAGGCATCATGCTGTAGCCTTGAGGAGGGACTTGATACCCCATGTTTGGCACCATACCACCCCGGTTGTCTGCATAGCTCGTGGAATTCGGCAAGCCATTGTTCATTCGAATAGGATGGGACATTGGCCCATTGCCGGGAGCGGCGTAAGGCATGCCGCCATTAGCATACCGCTGTTGTTGTTGTTGTTGCTGTTGTTGCTGCTGTTGCTGCTGCTGCTGCTGTTGTTGTTGTTGAGCCATCGGGTTCATTTGTCCATATTGCTGAGCCATCATGGGGTTCAACCGTGCCTGGTATTGGGCCTGGGCGTATGCTTGCGCCTGGGCTTGAGCCTGCGCTTGAAGTCGCGCTTGGGCCTGAGCTTGCGCCTGAGCTTGGGCTCTTGCCTGTGCTTGAGCCTGAGCCTGTGCTTGATATTGGGCTTGATTGCCCATGGGCATCTGCATCATTCCTGCTCCAGCATACTGCTGTTGTTGCTGCTGCTGATGCCGCTGCTGTTGCTGTAGCTGCCGTTGCTGTTGTTGCTGCTGCTGGTGTCGCTGTTGCTGTTGTTGCTGTTGTTGCTGCTGTTGTTTCTGTGACATTTGGGACTGTCCATAGACCTGTGGCGGGCGCGGAGACGTCTCGGACGACTCGTCGGCCCACTTGGCCAGCGTCATGAGGTTCTTGTTAAGAATCTTGCGCTTCTTGTCCAGTTTCTCCGTGAATTCCCCCATCTGCGCCGTCCCTTTGCCATGTTTGATCTGCGTGTTCAGCTCAATGATCTCGACAATGAGACTCGAGTTTTCGTCCAGCATGGCCTACAGAGCCCCCCCCCGCCACACAAACACAGACAGACAGAGCTCTGATATTAGAGACAGCGTAGAGAGACAGAGTAAAGAGAGAGGACAAGGAAACGCACGACAAGCCGCCGACACCCAAAGACAAGTGACGTACCTGAATCTGCTCGGTACTAATCTGCTTCGTCTCGTGCTGCTGCTGTTGCTGATACTGCTGCGGCACTGCGTACGTGCGAGTCATCGCCATCGGCACTGCGGCCGTCATGTCCATTATCGTGTACGTCCTATGTCGGATTGTGGGGCAACGCAGTTGCGACCGGATTGGCGGAAAAGATCTGCAATCGGATTGGCGGAAAAGATCTGCGATCGGATTGGCGGAAAAGATCTGCGATCGGATTGGCGGAAAAGATCTGGCGCCATTTGACTGGCGCAAACCCGACAAAGCACCGACGGCGCGACCCCATGAGCGGCATGCAGCGGTTCCTCCGACTGAGTGCGGCCGAGGCCGAAGCCGCGATGCAGCCCACGCTCGTGGCCGGCAAGTGGAAGCAGCCGCTGCTCTCTGGTCGGAAGGTGGCACTGGTGAAGAAGCACGCGGCCCGCAACGGTCTTTTGGGGACGTGGGAAGCAGGCAAAGGCGGCTGGCTCGAGACGTGGGACCGACCCCAGCAGCACCACGTGATGCGGCCACCGAAGGGCCACAAGAACCAGCGCAATGAGTTTGATCGGTACGTGATGGCGCTGCTAGTGTTGTTGTGGTTGTTGTTGTTGTTGTGTGTGGAAAGTCGTGGAGGTCTGACGTTGGTGTGTTTTTGCTGCGTGGGGATAGCGTCAAGAAGGTGCAGGCAGCGATGGCAGCGATGCCTGGCAAGATTGCTGACCACAAGAAGGCGGTCAAGCAGGCAAAGCCGCTGAAAGGGCTGTACAAGTGGCTCAATGAGACGGACCCGTATTAGGTTGCGAGACAGACGCAGCAGGTGGAACTTGGTCATTGGAGTAATTGCAAGGCAATCAAAGACACGCGTTCACTGCTTTGTCAGACTTACGCACTAGCTGCACTTGCAGTGAACGACCTTTCAACGAAATGGAGTCGCAAAAAAAACATGTTTAGCCCCCAAAAATTAGCGAGCCCTTGCAAAGTGTGTTCAGGTCGTTCTCAATGATACAAGGTGTAGTTGTGTCCGTGCAACTTGGCCCTGTCTCAATCAATAACGCCTCTTGTAGTAACCGCTATCCTGTCATCTCCACAATGGTTTTTGCTTGAAGGTTGCGTTCGCTAGAGCCATCTCAAAGCAAAGCAATAAGCGCTGCCATGGAGGATCGACGGCAAGTGCAGGAGACCTTTGCCTCTGGCGCTGGGTACTCTCGGAAAATAGGAGTCAAAAAGGCCTTCTTTGACGACACCTTGTGCCGAACCTTAACGTAACGCGACTTCTCTGGGCTGATGCTGCAGCGTCGCGAGTTGACCCAACAGTGGTATCTGTGAAGTACCCGTATTGATCCAAATCATGTGCTACGCGCGTATCGCCATGGGTTTTCGGTGCTTTCCGTTAAATTTGGGATGGGTCTTACGACCAAATGTACTGGCGTGAAAACTAAACAAAGCTTGGAAAGCAAAGCCAGTAAAACGCTACCGGATAGATGTGCGACGGCAACCCTTATAATGGACAAGATGTAGCAGAGCCACATGTATCATTAGCATAAGAAGTCAAGTGTTGGGGAGCTGCGTTGCTTCCGTGTTCTATTGAACTGGCTGAACACGTCGCGGAATGTTTGCTGTCACGCAGGACTTAAACTTGCTCTGTTAGGGTCTTGCATCATCCGAAACGTTTGACACAACTGCACCTCACTGAGGCTCTGATGTCCAATGTGCAGTTGGGATCGATGGCAGTTGACAGGATGGATGGATTAAGATATTATGACGCGCTGTCAGTTAGGCACGGTAGAGCCGTCCTGCTCGATAAAGCATCCGCACGTTTACCCCGTACTCCACTAGTCCCTCTCAAGCAAGGCGAAGCGGAACCGATCACCCCTCTGCAAGCCACGCGTGCGTCATTTTGATATATCAAATATGATCTACATCGGATAAGGGACACGAGCGTTCTTTAGCATGGGCCACCAAAACGAAGACGGATATGCCACCTACATAATGGTGATAGCACCAGCAACTGCCGACCTCCCAGCGGAGACGGCAATTATCAAGATAAAGAAATTCTCTAACGGGTCCCCACGAGAATGGCTCCGCTGCAGCAACCAGTTTCGCAGCCTCACCCGGAAAAAGCAGTGGACAGACGAACTGAAAGCACGTAACATTGTCGCGCTCATTGACGGCGATCTTGCAACTGAGTTGAAGTGCTCGCACAAGAGGCAGTTAGCTTAAGCAAGACTTTCGACCAGTTTTACACGGAAGTGGGGCTATTGAATATCCCATACGACTACAGCGAAGATCTGGAAAATGAGCTGTGGACGATGGTGAAGCACAGAGACGAGACGGTGCCCAAGTTCTCGCAGCGACTCCACGAAAATATCTGGTTGTTGGCTGAGTTGCCGCAGGATGCCGAAGAGATTTTATAGGTCCAGCAATGCCGTTGCTTTAAGTGCGGAATGCTACGAACATGGCAAGATAAATAGACTGCAGCATTCGTTGTGTATGACCAGCTCACTGAATTGGTGTTTTACTTCACGCAGATCGAAAAAGCTGAGCGACAGCTCGCCTCCCGCGATAGAAACGCAGACAAATGACGGGAACAGCAATGCGCAAAAACGAAACCAGCACAAGACTCAAATTTACCAAAAAGGATTCAAGAACCGGCGAGAAGGGAACAAGGAAAAGACGAATGGTCCTAAAGACAATCGCGAGCGAGACAATTGGTGTTCACTTCGTAAGACTGCGTCGCACAATACCAGAGACTGCTACACCTTAAAGAAAAGGGAGGCTGAAGAGAGCAAGAGCGCTGATGTTCAACTTCGAGCAAATTGCAAGGAAAATCGAAAGTACCCACGTGTGTCACGAAAAGCTGATTCGACATCCAGATCCGGGTCCGATCTGGATGCAACCGAAGAAGATCACAAACTAACATTCGTCGGCTTGGTTGAAAAGAACAAGCTGCCTACAAGTGCACCGTTGCGCATAAGTGTCGAGCTACAGCGAAGACAAGAACCGGTAGAAGCCCTGCTTGACAGTGGAGCCTCAAAGAGCATCATCAATGGGGTGACGCTCGCAACTGTTGTGAAGATGGGAAGAAACTACTTTTCAGTCTTTGCAACTGCATTCGACACGACGCGCGGCTCAATTACAAGCAACGGAACGGTGGTGACGAAATTCTATTTCCCCCAGCTCAAACCTGACAACATACCAACACATAATTTGAAGTGATAAATGATAGCAGCGACAGCATGGTGATCGGCAGAGGCATCATGAACGCGCTAGGATTGATTTTTAACTTCAAAGACAAGGTGGTGCAGTGGGAAGAATGTGTGCTCCGACTAAACACGGGGCAGAATAAGGACAGACAAGGCTTGGTCGGACAAGAAGAAGTCGAATTTTCTGATGAGTCGAAGGAAGCCAACTAAATGGCTGTTTCACCCGAAGCACTCCTGCCAGACTATCTCCAATCCGACATAAAGCTGAAATACTTGGTACTATTGGTAAACTACAAAGAGCTTTAGAACGGGCACCTTGGGCGGATGCGCTTTAGTGACTACGAGCTGCCCATCAAACAGGACTTCAAACCAGTTCATGCAAAGTACTACCCGATACCACGCAGCCAAGAAAGCAAAGCAAAACAGACGATTGAATGACTCATTTGTGCGAACGTGCTCGAGAAAATTTTACGACGCAGAAATGGCATTACCTGCGTTTTTTGTTACCAAGCCTGATGGATCGCTGTGACTACTGAATGATTATCGGGGTCTATACAAGTATCTACAAAGGATCCCGTAATACGTACCATGCATCAGAGAGATCCTTTTGCGTTCGCCAAACGCACGGTGCTTATCAACCTTTGACGCAAACCACGGATACTATGCCCGGCGAATTGATCGCAAAAGTCGCCCTTTCACAGCGTTTTGCTTCCCTTTGGGAAATTTCAGTACAAGCGGTTACCAATGGGTATATCAACGACCCCAGACGAATACCAAGCCTGCATGGAGCGCATCTTCGGAGACATTGAGTTTGTTATAGCATACCTGGATGATGTGCTTGTGTTTTCTTCCACGACAAAAGATCATCTTGATCACTTGCGCATCGTATTTAAGCACTTACAGGCTTATGGTGTTACGCTGAATGGAAAGAAATGTCATATCTTGTGCACAGTGTCGATCACCTGGGATTTAAGCTGTCCGCTGATGGTACGAAACAGCAAGACAAGAAGATCCAGGCTATTCAGAAAATTGCACTGCCACGTAACCGGAAGGAGCTTGGCCGTTTCTTAAGCATGATCAATTACTACCGCGACATGATACCGAACGAGACAACAATATGCAAGCCTCTATACCGGTTTACAAGCGCCAAAGTGCCCTTCACATGGCTCCCAAGTGGTACGAAGTTCTTTCACGAGAATAAGCGTGCATTTGATGAAGCTGTACTGTAATCGTTTCCAGATTTTGAGAAGCCTTTCGATGTCTACACCGATGCTAGCGGGACCCAACTTGGTAAGCTAATTATGCAAACGAATAAGATTTTGGCGCGTTATTCTCGCAGTCTCACTAAGCATGAGACGGATTATCTCACCATAAAATTAGAGTCCTATCGATCGTCGAACTCCTACGAAATTACCAAACGATGCTCCTCGGCTTTCTAGTAGTGGTTCATACTGCTACAAGAACTTGATTTATCCGGCTGAAACAAGCCTGCGGGTCAAGCTCTGGAAACTACTGCTGTCCGAATATCGCCTGATCAAAACGTGTAGAAAAGGAGAAAAACATTGGGGCCGATGTTTTCTCTCGCATGCGATTTCCGACCAGTATAGTCTCCACGCAAAATGATGAAAGCTATGCTTTGAATACGCCGCCCGAGTGTATTATGCATGGTCCAGTCATTCGCCGGTATTAAGAAGCAGATCCAATGGTTTAAGCTATCAAAGAGTCGTGTCTAGCAGGGAACAAAAATCCCGTATACCAACTAACGACACTTTTAGGATGCACGATGGTTGCGTATAAACGCCTTGTAATCGTCCCTGAAAGTTTTCGTGACGACATGATCGGCTGGTACCACATGAATCTCGGTCACTCAGCGAGTCATCGGCAGTACAAAACAGTGCAAAGCACGTTGTACTGGCCACACATGGAAAATTCTATCATAGACTTCGTACAGCAACGTATCACATGCAAGCGAGCCAAGCTACACGGATGCAAACAATATTACGGGATATTACCACCCCGCACCATCAAGCCCGTAAATTCGTTCGATGTTGTCCAAGTTGATTTCATTGGACCGTACGAACGTGGGTACTACGGCATAACTATGATCTATCAATTAACTCGATGGCTAGAAGTTGATGTACAACCGACCAAGGAATCGCTTATAGCAGCGGAAAGTTTTGACCGCGAGAAGCTTTGTAGGTACCCATGATTAAAATAAGTCGTGCATGACCGCGAATTAGAATTTGCAAGAGAATAGTTTCAAGAACTACTGCGCAGTCACGAACTGAAATCCAAGCCGATCACATCACAGAACCCGCAAGCTAATGATATATTTGATCGCGTACATTCGGAGCTCGTAAACGTCATCCGCTGCCACCCAAATGCAGATTTGACAAAGGTTCTTCATTACGCTGCTTTTGCCGTCCGTGCAGCTACCATAGTGTCCCCGATGCATTTCCAGGTCAACTTATTTTTAGGCAAGACATGATATCACGCCAGCTACATCGATTAAATTAGAGCTACCTTTTTAGAAACGCCGATTCAAATCTATTCTGCCTGACAATACCCGTGAAAATCGCCAACGTCTCAAGCA